CAACAACGAGCCCAGCGATTACTCGCTGAAGCCCAAGCCGGATGCGGAATTCTCTCCAAGCTACTGGCTGAACGAGAGGCAGCATAGTTACCTCCACAGCGAGGACTTCTTCGTCAAGATGGACGTGGAGTCGCCGCTGGACCTGCGCATCCACAGAATTTGAACCGACTGACCGGTTCGCCCTCGTCTCTCTTCCCCCATCTAGTCATTGTGCTGTTCCCCAGCTCTTGTCACTACACCTAGATTACTGTTTAACCTGATTAAAGACTGTTGTATTTGAAGAGCTCTAGTTTGGCATGGGGATTGCACGGGGTTATCAATGGAGCAGAACCTTGGGAGAGTGGGAAATTTAGCTTTTTATAGTAGTTCTGGGAATTTAGACTGTTCTGGTGATTAATTTTGAATACACACACACTTTTCTCTTGTTGTTTCCTAGAAATCTATTGCTCTTCAATGTGTATCTGAACTCAATCGTTCATTATGTTATACGTCGAAACAATCCTACATAGGGAACCATTTTTCAAGCTAGGCACATAAGAAAAAATTCTTATAAAGCAGATAAAATCTCTAGGGGCCCCATGGTAAACAATTATAACAAAATTATAAGTAACCAACTTATAATAATTATAATAAATAGAAGTGGATCAGAAAGACATAAGTACTATTTTATAAGCAATATTATTTCGCTGAAAAACATCACTAAAGGTGCGGTTGCGTCTGCCCTAAACAGGATTTTTAAGATAAGATATTAGTTTTAACCACGACGCACATTTAAGGTTGGTTCTCTGAGTCGTTCTACAAAAATGTCGATTTAAGTATTGGGTCCTCTTTTTAAAAATGCCCATGATGAGTTGAAAAAATCGTACGTACATAAAATAGAAACAGAGTCATATAAATACCTATGTACTTGTATTATTTAAACAATATTGTTGAGTAATCGCGACCTTAAAAACTAATCGCATTTATCAAGCAATCAAGTAGTTTTTAAAAGCGAAAAGATTGGAGAAACCCTAGTACAAAATCTGTCTGTCACAAAACGTTCGACCACCTGAAAAGTATCTCGTGACTTTAATCTCCTCTGATAACAGTTTACACACCTGGTCGTATCTTGTTTCGGGGAAAATCCCACTTTCTAATGGCTAGGCCCACAGACTGCTGGATATTTGAAAATATTTATTGTTTAAATGCGAATCTAGACGAGTTTTTCACAACTGTTAATAACAGATTTAATCTTTTTTGCGGCTTATAGGAATGTTAGTTGATCTAGATAACCTCTCGTTTTTATACAAACAACAAGAACAAACAAAATAAATAGCAAAAGTATTTCACATTTGAAATAGATAAATACACTTTGAAAGCGGTATCAGGGAGTTCACTATATATACGCATATATACTGGCAACATACTACACAGTAGAAACAATTACTCAAATTAATATTATTGTTGCACTCGCGTCGTTTAAGGAAACAAATACGCTGTAGTCCGCCCTGCGGGATGTGCCTCGTGGTGGGCGTCCAGCTTGCACCATGTCCAGTCACCATTAGCCGTATCATTACGCTCTAAAAAATCTTACAACTCGTACAATGTATTGTCGGCAAATCGGGCACTCGTTTAGCACTTTTCCACAGCTTGTGCATGTGGCCATGTGCCCGCACTCCAGAAAAACGCACTCAATCGGCGCGTCCATACAAATCTTACAGAGCTCGTCCGTGGGCAGTTTCTCAACGGCTGCATAAATATTTTGAGTATTAGTAAGGTGACCCTACAGGATAAAGTTCAAGGCTCACCTGGAGTCTCACGCATGGTTTTCCACAGTCTACTGACGCGGTCGAGCAGCTCCTGCTTCTCACAACAGCCTTTGTAGTCGACGCGGTGCAGCATGAGCACCTCCTTCAACTGCTTCACCGTCAAACTCTCCAAGTCTTTTCTGTAAGTCAAATGAGGCATTTAATTAATCTTCGATTTATGCAAGTAATAGACAACATACAAATCCTCAAAGTCTTCCAAATTGACAAAACGCGAGTCAATGCCAGCAGTCGGCTCAAAGTCTGACGGTGCCGGATACACGTGGATCCCCTCGTCGTCGTCCCAGCGGATATCATCATCCTGCGTGGGCGAGAACTCGATTGTCGGCGTGATGGGCATGTCCGGGGATCTTCCGCCAGCAGCCACGCTGATCGCATCCGCGCTAAGAGGGGACACCGCATGACTGTCGGCGTCGGAGACCTCCACTGACTTGGTGCGCTGCTCCAGGTACGTGAGGAACTCCTGCAGCTCCCGTTTGATGTCCTCTTCGGACATCTGCGAGTTCTCCAGATGGCGTCGCATTTTCTCCACATGGCGGCGGATGTTTGTCTTGTTTTTACCGCAGCGGTGGCAGCTCTGGCGATGAGAGTGCGCATGTAGACCGTGCTCCGGCTGTTCGCTAAGGGTCGAGAGCCCCAAACTGAGACCAGTTCCGCCTGGCGCCACCGGGGACTCGTCATCGCTAGAATGGTAGCGACGATTCAAGTAACCATCAGAGCGTCGGCGGGTCACCTTCTTTGAGCGCTGCGGCACGGCGGGATGGAACGCTGGACTTGGGTTGGCAGGGCGCTGCTCTATGTTCAGGGTTTGAGTGCTCTCGCCCAACTGGCCTTCCTCGCCCTCCACCGCTGGTCTGCTGCGCAACGTAACCTCCAAGATCTCCTCGGCTGCACTCGTGGTCGGCGTCTCCTCCACCGCCTCGATCCGGTTCACTTCAAGCACCTGCCACTGATCCAGGTGACTGCTGTTTGTGTCCGTGGTGGCCTTGCTCTCGTCAGAGATGCCACCGATGGCGCCCAGCTCCTCAAAGCTTGACTGCGAGGAGGCATCCGCTTTGGAGCTGCTCGAGCCCGGCTTAGAGCAGCCCGGACTAGCAGCTGTGGTGCCGGAAGGTCCACCGTCTCCAGCCACATAACCAGCGGGACTGGGCGCTGCGGGTACTTTGACCACCCGAGCACTGGTGTCGGTTTTGAGCGACAAGGACACGCGCTCACTGAACGTGGCCATAATCTCATCGTCTGAACACTCGCAGTCGGACTTGCTGTGCGCCTCCTCCTGCTCCTCTCTATCCTCCTCCTCCTCCTCCTCCTGGCGGGCCGCCTGGGCTTGGCTGCTACTGCTGGCATCGCGATTATTCGATGCCTGCGTGGAAGTTGAAGGACTGCTGCTGCTCTGGCTGCCCCCATTGGTGGTGGTGGCTGCCCCTTGATGCACATGGACGCGTTGTGGCCCGCCATTAACGGCACTGGCGTAAGTGGGAATCTCGCGAGTGGAGACCCTCGGCTGCTCGAAGATGTGGGAGGGCGCCTCTGGCTGCCTGCTCTCCGGAGGCTTTGCAGCGACTTTGGAATCGAACGAGGCTAGCGAATCACTTATGTTGTCGCTCAGGTTGGAGAAGAAGTTTTGGCACGACTGTTTAATGCTGTCGATGGGGTTGGCCTGGCCTCGACCCGGGCTGTTGGAGGAGGCGTTTGAGCCACGGCCCCTGTCCACCTGGGCGACATGGGTGAGGACGAGGCCCACCAGCTCCTCTTTCTCTGTGGGTTGAAGCGGGGTTAAGTGATATGCATTTATTGGAGTTTTCTCATCCAACTGCTTTTGACTTCAGTTGGAAGAGATTTCTGGGCGACCTCCAGATGTGTGACTCACCTAGACAGCCTTCTGTGGAGATGTGCTTGGACTGCAGATAGAAAATCAGGTCCTTGGGCTTGAGCTTTAACAGATCCGTCTTTAGCAGAGGCCGCTGGGCGAAAACAGAGCACCGTTGGCAGCGCCTGGACGCAATGCAGTTGGCACAGTAGTAGCGTCTAATGGGACAGTAAGAAATCTCGGTGATTCCCCGAAATCTGGGATGTACTCATTTAGTTCGTTACTCACTTGCAATCGAAGCAAGCGCGCTTGCGACGAAACACCGTGAATTCCACGCCGCAACTTTCACAGGGCATCGTGGCCGCTGGACAGTGGGCAGCTGCTCCTATCGACCGTGTCCTTGCGCTGAGTCCTTGCCCTTCCTGGCAACTGCTCCTCCCTTCCGCTGCTTACGCCCACTGTGCTGGCATTGCATTTGTTTTTCAATGTCAACGTCGTGAATCACTGCGTGGCCACGCTTGGCGCACGGCATTTATCTCCGCCTGGCGGCGAATGGGTCAAGGGTGTCGGTGAACACTCAACACCTAATCATAGGCGGCTGGATGCGTACGCGATGATTTTTATAAATTTTTATCAGGCAAAAATAGCAATTCAAGGTACCAGGGCTGCGGTGATTTATATACGTATGTGCCACGGTTGCATCGAGCCAATGTTATCGGTCTGGTCTGCCGATACGGCTATCGATTACCGTAATGAATGGCGCTTGATTTGAATGCAGCCCGCTGGAATATATATAATCATTCCTAATTAAGCCTACCAGTTCAATTATCCCGGTACACAATTACTTCCCTACCTATGTTCTATTCAACTTATCTCCAGGAATCTCAAGGTAAATGCACCTTATTTAAATCCCTATAATTACCACAGCAAGTCGTCCAATACAATTACTATTTTAGTTGCTTTTATTTAATTCACATCCACTACTTACAGTTAAGTATGTAATTGTATGCATTTAAATAGTTAAGTGCCATAAAATGTTGCAATCTTGTTTAAAATAATACATCAATTAGTTGCTAAGTATTATACGGTCTGCCTTCTGCTCCGCCTTCAAGTCATTTAGTTATATACACATGTGGTTTCCAATGATTGAGCTTTTCCGAAATTCTTGTCGATAAGTCTTTAATTACATAAACAAATGCGTCCGTTGTTGCTCCGGCCAGAATGTTGCCCAGTCTCAATAACAAGAGCTGGCTGATGATGGCAGTTGGAGTCCGTCTTCAAGCAGCGCCAGCACCGCATCGTTCGTTTTCAGTGGCCACGGGTGTTTAAGGTTTTTTGCTTTCACAGGGGAACTTAAGCAGCAGCAGGAGAGAGCGAGTCGTCAGTGAGGGTGAAAATGTACATTCTTTAATTTCTATTGGCGAGTTGAACGTTGCTTGGCCCTGAAGAGACTGGAGGCTTGCACTATGACACGAGACCCGGATCCTCGGCTTTCACGTGGCTCTGCAGGGGATCGTCGTTGTTGTTGTCATCGTCGTGGATGCCCGACGACACCAGGGCCCGGTTCTTCTCGTAGTCCACGAAGTCGTCGAAGAGACTTGGCCACGCTTCGGTGTCGTCGTAATTTTGTATATCACATTGTTCCGTAAAGTTGAGGTACATGTTCCATGTATCCTTCGGTATGCGGCGTATATTCGGGTGCTTTTCGAGGAAGTGTATCCAGTTGGAGAAGAGATCAGGTGTTTGTACAGTGAATACAAGTTTCCACAGGTCGATGGCCATCTCGAGGGAGAGGACGCGCTGATCGGGCTCCAGGCCAAAGCTGAAATGTGAGATGTAAGTTATATTTTGGGACGTAGCACAGTGAGATCATCCTACCGGAAGGTGAAGCGGTATAACTGCTTGAACATCTCGGCGTCCGCCTTGAGCATCTCGATCGTCTGCTCCAGTCGCACCCGGATGCTGGATATTGTGTCCGCCCGCATCTTGTGCAGACCCTCGATGAACTCCGCCTTGGTGAAGCGGCACATCTGCGAGGCATCCAGGCACCAGGCCAGGACGAGTATGGCAAACTCATCGGGCTGATAGTTGAGGTCATTGCACAGTCGCTCGATGCCGTCCGTCAGGATCATGTCCTCGTCGTCCGGATCTTTGTACACATCAAACAGTTGGTTCAGCGTCTGGTGCGACACCTCCATGGATTCCTTGACGGCTATTCGATTATACAAAAGCAAATGAGCACTCTCAATGCAATGACCGCTGCGCTGACTCACCAGTTGTTATGATATCGCTCATGGTGGGCGCACTGCCATTAAGCAAACCTAAAGACTTAAAACTATTACGCTTAGTATCACAATTGTTTGCTTTTGCTGGCTTGAGTGGAGTTCGGCTGGAGAGCAGTTCATCGGTTTCTGGAGGGGCGAAATGAAAGAGGGTTTTTAGACTTTGGATATCAAACTAACGACGGGGCTATTAACTGTGGAATACCCACCTAGGGCGCAGCGCTCGTTGGCATTGGGATTAGTGCCCACCGATTCGTAGCAATTTGCAAGGCTGGTGGTCGTCTGGCAGGCGTTGGAATTGGAATTGTGTGAATTGGGGGACGAGGCGTTCGTTGGCATCGATTGTTCGGCGGCAGACTGGAAGCATTTCAGGCAATTGCCCATAGTGGGTGCGTGCTGGGTGCACCAGGTCCTCCTCCGCCTGCTCCACCTGCAGTTGCTGGCTCCCTAGCAGGAGCACTCGATGGCTTCCAGTTTCAGTTTGGCCGAGTGGCTGGCTGCTAGCTGCTGGCTGCTGAAACTTGTGATTTGTCGGGGGGCGTGGATGTGAGGTTTGGTCCTATGGCTCCTTGGGGATTTACTGACTATGCATTGGCACTGCGGTTCCCTCTACTGACTGGCATATGGTAGTGGTCCCTGCGATTCCGACTCCAAGTACGAGTACGATTCCGATTCTTTGTTGCCACTGCGATTGCTGTTGTTATTTTGGTGCCTCCTACGCAAACGCACACTCACGCGTATACACATACATGTGCAGGTTGCAACTGCAGCATTTACTGCCACCGAATCGCGCTCGTCTCTTTTACTGGCTGTTTTCATTCACATTTTCAGTTCACCCGTGCTGAGACGATTGTTTAACATTAATTTGGTGCAATTTTAAAATGTGATTTATCTCGCTTTTTCACTTGTTTTTTTCGGACCAGGGCTGCACTAATCAACCAGGGCTGCACTGTCCTCAAGTGGTTGTGTGCGATAATATTTCAGCCTGGCAGTGCCCTATCGCTAGAGAGAGAGCCACAGTGGGCCTAAACAGTTTGACCATCACAGTTCGTTACATTTAAATAATCTCTAATTTAAATAATTAAGAAATGCATGACTTTATTTTTTTAAAAATAGAAAAATACCTCTGCAGATGCTTTGGTACGATTAAGCATATAGATTATTAAAAACATTTTTTTAATTCCTGTTCTAAGCATGCTAATTATATTATAAATAAATATGTATTTTGCCAATTCAACATCATTAACCATATTATAATCTCTCTTAGTTGGAGAAAATGACTCCCGAATCCATTCCTCTCTCGCCCACTGTGCGTAATGTGAGCGCCGAAGTTTGAGCCAAGTTAACAATTTCATTCAACAACATGCAGTCGGAGCGGTAGAAAGTGCTTCCGGGTAACTGGTACATACGTGCATATTCTAGCGATCGCAAAAGAAAACTTTCGGTTCGGTTGGCTAAAAAGAAAAGTGTCAAGCTGCCCGGTGGGAAAATCCAAATCCTGCACTGGAAAAGCGGTCTTGAAGCGGGACAGTAAACTGGAAGTGAGTGTGTGTATCCGTGGTAAATGGTTGACTGCCTCGATTTTCGGTTGTTTTTGGGCAACTCAAAAACCAGCCAGCAAGGTTGACTGAACTTGGTAGTTGGTAGATACGTAAGCCAAACTCCGTCGTGTGCAGTACATGGGTAATGTCGTATGTGTGCGTTTGTGGGCCTGTGATTCTTCGGCCTCAGTTACACTTTTCTTTTTCTTTTTTGGATTATTAATTCACAACGTGTGAACGTTGGTAGGAGCGCTGGGAAAAGGGCAAAATGAAATCTGCTTAACGGCTAACTCGAGGCATCTTCGTGCCCAGTTCAATTGCCTAACCACGGTTAACACTTACAATAATGGAATGTGACAAAAAGTATACAAAAATGTACATCATTTGATTGAAATATCACTTACCTAAAAGACAAAACATTTAATTCCGACACAGATTGTCGATCTCGACGTTATAATCTATAATATTTTACATAAGAACTATTCAGATGCCCCAGTTACTCAGGGAAAAATGCATTACTGATAAAAAGTATCATGTTAAACCTTTACTAACTTATTCCAGAATTACTTGCTAAAAATAATTAGGTCGACTCTCAATATTAAAAAATATGCAAGCTTCGTTTATTCTTCGAAATCTAATAAGTCACAATCACCATTTTATACATTAGGTGTACATCATTTCGGCCATGACCGACAGCTTCTTGGGTATGTTGGCCATATTTTCGAGGTAGCAGGACAGCTCATCGACATTTACTTCGTCGGGGTTCTGGATCGGAGGTTGCGTTCCTTCATAATAGAGAATCTTCTGCAGTTTATCGCATTCGCCTATCATGTTTCTAAAGCCATATGCATTTGACAGAGGAACTGTTGGGATCTGACTAAGCTTTTCCTGAGATACCTCTTCAACATTTTTTAAGTCAACGGTTTTCCGAGAAGCGGAAAGATCTTCGCACTCGGCTTTCAGGCCCTTAAAGTCGTATGCATTACCAGAAACCATATTCCTGCCCGTAACTTTCACCCAGTTGGGTTCCTCCTCATCCTTCTCGATGATCACGTTTTTATGAACCCAATCTAATCCATCAGCACGAGTTTTTCCATACAGACAGTGAACGCGAGGTTTTCGAAGCAGAAACTTTTGTTTCATGGGTTGTTTCTTAACTCCTGTGTCCTCCAATTGGATGTTGGAACCCATAGATGAGTCCGTTACGGGACCATTGAACTTGACTCCTTCGATTGAATGGTGTGACATTTTTATCTTACTCAGCTCGAAGGACAACTTCTCTAAAGGCATCTTTACTAGTCTCTATGTTGCCAACAAGGAATGTGTGTCAATGTGTCTGATTTTGTAGATTGGTTTATGTGACCTATATCTGATTATCTTAGATGTGGGAAAGAATAGGAAGTATTATGAAAAGCCTATTCATACGGTCTTGGATTCCTTTCAGATCGATTCCGGAATTTCCATCGCCAGTCTGATTGAAAGATAACACAGACGAGAATGTCTTCGGATCGGTTTCACAAGTGAGTACATGCAATTAATTTGGTTCTATCTTATCGCCAATGGAATGCACAAGACTAATTAACCCTCTGGATCTCTATTTTCAGGGCCGCCAAAGATGGGCTATTGGATGTGCTGGCTGCAGCCACACGCAAGGACACGAATGCCAAGGACAGTGATTCAATGACGCCGGTCATGTGGGCAGCCTTCGAAGGTCGTTTGGATGCACTGCGTCTTCTGTGTGGAAGGGGGTAGGTGACAGTATTTATGCCAGTTCCTGGTAGAGTAAACGGGTATGTTGCATTCGTCGAATAGGATGTAAAATGTTGAAGGAAGTGTTTACGACGATCTAGGGATGTCCGCTCGTCTGTCCGTATAAACGCTGAGATCTCGGAAGGTATAAATGCTGGAAGCTGGGTTGGGAAAAAGAATGCAGATTCTTGAGATTCCAGAGCAGCTCTACGCCCACTCTTACGCCCACAATCGCAAAAGATTGTGGCGCCCAAATTTTTTAAGATTTAGTTTCCAATTATATTATATATTATATTATTTGGTTTATTAATACCTATCCTCACGTCAAAAAATGTTTAATTCGGATCACCTATTAAAAAGTTGTTGGGGCCCGTATATAGCAAGATAACGTTTAGTAACGTCACACCCAGTAGATAAAAAGTGTAAAATGTTGAAATGTTAAGTAGATATAAATGTTAAAAGTCATCGATGTTTCTTTAACTTTAATCGAAGGTATATTTATTTTGAACTTGGTTAACGGGTAACAGGAATCTCATAGTCGAGGCATTCGTCTATGGCGTTCCTTCCCGATTCACTTTCTATCTTTACTGATAAATATTTTCTTTTCTTTATTTCCATCAGTGGTGACCCCGACAAATGCGATCAGTTTGGGAATACAGCCCTGCATTTGGCCTCCGCCAAAGGTCATTTGCATTGCGTAGACTTTTTGGTAAAATTCGGAGTCAACATCTATGCCTTGGACATCGATAAGCACAGTGCCAAGGATCTGGCGGCTATTAATGGCAGGGATGAGATTCTGCGCTATTTGGATGTGGCCTTTACAAACTTTGAGGCAACTGAAAAGTAAGCTCAGGCTATAGTTAATGCTAGGGTTAGTTATTCCTAGGGCCGTTTTCTCGTCCGCATGTTAAACTAAAAGTTGAGTTTAAGTTTTAAACTTTAAATGTGCTGAAAATAGAAGTCTTAAGATTAGTCTTAGAAAAACGGCCCTTAGGGACTAAAAGACCAACCGAAGACCAATTGTTTTATTATTTATTATTGAATTTTTACCTTTTAGAAAAAAGTCTAAGGCGCTGAAGGAGCTGGCCGAGAAGAACTGCGAGAAGCGTGTGCGGGAGTACATGAAGCGTCAGCAGCAGCAGCGGCAGGATCCCGACTACTCCGACCTCAGCCCGCCCAGTGGGGCCAGTAAGTCCGGAAACATGCTGTCCACACTCAAGCAGAAGATCTGGTCCAGTCAGGGCAACCTGAACAAGCCGCCAAGAGATCCGCCTCCGCCGGGGCCCACAAAGTTCAGCGACCTGGTGGGCAGTGGAAGCAGCAGCAGCGGGGGCTCCACAATAGCCAGTCGAGCGGGAACGGTCCAGAAGAGACCATCCCAACTGCAGAAGCAGCACAGCAGCACGTGTCCACACTCAAAGATTTCCAGCGACTCGGACGGAGGCTTCAAGGTCCGCGAGTTGGAACCAGATGGCAAGCGGACCATTACTTCGTTGACGGGATTACAGCGGGACTCCGAAGTGATGTATGTGGGCACCTTCAGTTCCAACGAGGAGAGCATCGGCAAGCGCGGCAAGATCACCGATGTTTTTGAGTGTATGGAGGCCGACGAGACGGATCACAATGACAACCGCAGTGGCTACAGTTCGGCATTGGCGCGTTCCTTCTCCCAACCGGATATCCTGGGCGATGGTCAGCTAAGCCAGGAACTAAGCGAGGAAGTGACCCTCCAGAGACCCGTAGGACTGTTCGACAGACCCACCATGTTGGGCAGCATAGCCTTCCGACGTTCCGTGACTGCTGCTTTGAGCCAGCTGCAACTGCACACGGACACTAGTTCCACTTCTACGATGCGGAATGCTGGCAGCAATCCACCGAAACAAAGAAATGGCGGTGGAAAGGGTCGTCTGTATCTGAACCTGTCGGATGATACGGATTCCGAGGGCGGTGGTCATGATATATACAGCGACGAGGACGACGACGATCGGGAGGCCGCCGGTAGTGCCTTGCAAAGATTTTTGGCCGTTTGGGCCCTGGAAGAATACCTGCCCGTGTGAGTATCTTAAGTAAATTTCTGATTAACAAAATTGTTTCTCGTGTTGAACTCATCCTAATATATCTTTTCCATGACAGGTTCCAGAAGCAAGAGATCGACCTGGAAACACTGATGCTTCTTACGGAGTCGGACCTCAAGTCCCTGGGTCTGCCGCTGGGCCCATTCCGGAAACTCACCTTCGCCATCCAGGATAGACGCAACGCCCTGGCCAATCCCGGTCCCCTCGTAGACAGTCGACTGTAGTTCTTGGCCTATTTATTATATTATAATACTTTAACAAGTTCTATTAGCTTAATGTATATACTAAATTAAAGCCTAATGATTATCACTCCAGCTCACTGAGTCAGCCCGCCACCTGTTGCATCAGGTAGAGATTGGCGTAGATCTTATTCAGGGCCATCAACTCGTCGTGGGTGCCGTGTTCCACCACCACGCCGCGTTTGAACACGCAGATTAGATCCGCATTCCGCACGGTGGTCAGACGATGGGCTATCGTCAGACAGGTGCGACCGGATCGCGCCTCATCCAGCGCCTGCTGCACCACCTTTTCACTCTCCAGATCAAGCGCGGAGGTTGCCTCGTCGAGGATAAGGATCTTGGGGTTCCTGACCAGCGCCCGAGCGATGGCGATGCGCTGCTTCTGGCCCCCAGAGAGCTGTGAGGTCTTGCCCAGCCGAGTGTCGTATCCTTGGGGCAGGGCACTTATAAAGTTGTGGATATTGGACTTCTTGGCCGCCTCGATAATCTCCTGCATGGACACGTCGTCGCGGAAGTTGTTGCCGTAAGCTATGTTCTCGGCAATGGTGCGATCGAAGAGCACGGGTTCCTGGGAAACCAGGCCCAGCTTGGAGCGCAGTGTGTCCAGCGGGAAGTCCGTGCTGGGCACTCCGGATAGATTTACAGATCCAGAAACAGGATCGTAGTAGCGGAGCAGCAGTTGTACACAGGTGGACTTTCCGGATCCGGAAGGACCCACCAGAGCCACAGTCGTCGACTTTTTTATGGTGAGATTTAGGCCGTGCAGAATGGGGGTACCCTTCCTCGTGGGATACTCGAAGCCCACTTTCTCGTAGACTATGTCTCCCTCGGATTTCTGAAAAGGCAAGCGGATAAAGACATATGAGTATCAAACAACTGAAATCAAAAAAATGTAGACTCACCTCGACTGTGTTGTATGGACTCTGGGGCGGATTGGGCTGTGTAGAGGTGAGCTGGAAGAGATCCATCAGGCGGCCGGCGGATAGAATAGCATCATTTACATTTGGGGCATAGGCCAAGGCCTGTCCCAACATCCAGGAGCCAAAAATCAGCGCTTCGGCCACCTTGATGATGTCCGCGTAGTCTATTCGACCCTCTGCCACCAGAATACCACCATAATACAGGGAGATGCCGTAGGCTAGGTAAGGAGCCGCCTGTCCTAGAGCAAAAACCAGACCGCGGAAGCGAACTTTACGCTTACAGGCGACGTCTACAAGATCGATCTGCTGGACGTACTGCTCCAAGACCTGCCGTTCCAGGCAAAGACCATTCACCGTTCGGATATTGGTAATAGCTTCGACGGCTACCTGAGAAGCCTCCTCGATGGATGCCTTAGCTTCCTGGGCGCTCTTCATGATGAAGCGACCCTCCAAGTAGATGGATAAGCAGAGCAATGGGAGGGAAACCAAGGTGAGGAGCGTCTGTTGCCAGGAGAAGACGAAACCGACGACCATGCCGACCACAAGAGTGGACATAGCCTGAAGCATGGTACCCACACGAGCTCCAGTTGCCTGGAAAAATGGAAACAAATTGTAAGAAATAATAATATTGCTTTTTATAAAACCCGCTAGTTGCTTAAAATTCCGCTAAGGTGTCTAAAAGTATGCTACAATGTATCTTAAATTCAAAAACAGATATGATTTTCTCAGCTTCGTAACTTACCCCTTGCACGTTGGAGCAATCGCTAGCCAGTCGAGAGCACAGGGCTCCCACCGAGTTACGCTCGTCATCGAAGTACGCAATATCCTGACCCACAATCGTTCCAAAGGCCCGTTTGCGCAGGCGCGTTGTCATCTTCACGCCGGCGGTTGTGAACATGTAGGTCTGCAGCATGTTGCCCAATCCGGCCATCAAGCCAATGCCAACAAAGATCATAGAGATTTTCAGGACCTCGGATCGCACGACGTCATCGTCACCGTTCGACATGATACCAAAGAAGTCACCAAAGAAGAGACCCCAAAGCGGGAAGTTTGCGCCATGCATCACGGAGGCGATACCACCCACAACGAGGAATTGCCATTCCGCGGAGTTTAGTTTTATCAGCTGTATAAAGGACACCTTGGGCACTACTTCATTCTTCCTCCTCTTGTCGTGACGCTGCGAACGACCTGTATAAGGAATGAGTTCCATTTTATTATTAAATGCGTTGATATAGAACGTGTGTAGATTTTAAAAATCGTATATAACTTCTCAAATTTTTAATAAATATTTAAGTAAAAATAAATAAAGCTTTAAATTATGCGCTTAAATTACTACGATTCTGTTTTAAATAAACATCGTCCTTATAAACACATTGTAGAATATTAGTATCCCAAAGTGTTTACAATACTGATCACATTATTATGGATCTTAGAGAATTATAGACACTTTTACTATATGTTTAAAGAACATTAATAGGATAAAGATAGTTGGATTTATTTTTATCACAATCGAATGGAAGCAATTCGCAAATGTAATTTCGGTACTGATCAGTGGTCGCCGGCAGAAGCATTGTGTGTAGCCCATGGGACAAATTTTCTCTATCAACGCTTTGCCGCAGCTTTTACGTTATACTTTTCCAGGCATAGAGAAGTTTAGATTCTAAAGTGTTTAAAAACAAATCAGCCTTACCATCAAGCTTAGAACATTGATTTCGTATCTGACTTCTGGTACTTACGCTTGCGTCGCGTGCTGGCTCTGAACCCGCTGTCCCTGGAGCTGCCTGAAGTGTTCAGCTCGGGCTCCTCGTCCTCCTCCTCATCCTCCTCGTCGTCATCGGTCTCCTCGTCGGACAGGTTCTGCGACTTCTGCAGAGGTCGCCCGACCACCGCTCCCTCATCCGCCTCGGTGGCCTCCTTGCGCTGGGTGATGTTTACCAGTTCGCAGTAGAGGCCCCTTCGTTCCATCAGCTCCTCGTGGGTGCCCTGCTCTGCCACCACGCCGTCCTTGAGGAAGACGATCTTGTCGGCGTTGGTGATGGTGGACAGGCGATGGGCCACCACCAGAGTAGTGGGTCCCTGGCTGGCCAGCTCCAGCGCACTCTGCACCCGCTTCTCGGAGGTGGGATCCAGTGCGGAGGTGGCCTCGTCCAGGAGCAGAACTTGCGGCTGTCGCACCAATGCCCGGGCAATGGCTATCCGCTGCTTCTGGCCACCAGAGATCTGAGCCCCCTTCTCGCCCACCTGGGTGTCGTAGCCCTTGGGAAGACGACTGATGAAGTCGTGGCAGTTGGCCGCTCGCGCCGCCTTCTCGATGTCCGCCTGAGTGGCCGATGGTCTTCCGTATCGGATGTTCTCGCCAATGGTGGTCGCGAAGAGAACCGGTTCCTGGCCCACCACTCCGATCTGCGATCGCAGCCAACCCACATTCAGAGTACGCAGATCCCGTCCGTCCAGTTTGACGCTGCCCGCCTCGGGGTCGTAGAACCGCTGCACCAGCTGGATGAGGGTGCTCTTGCCGCACCCAGAAGCTCCCACGAAGGCCACCGTCTGACCCGGAAGCACATCGACGGTAAGACCCTTGAGGATCTCCACATCTGGGCGGGCGGGATAGCGGAAGCGGATTCCCTCGAATCGAATGTGTCCGGTGGTGCTTTCCGGCCTGCTTCCCTTCTCGTCCATGGGATCCACCTGCGACGGTCGATCGATGATGTTGAACAGGGTCTGTCCAGCTGCCGTGGCCACGGCTATGGCTTCCACATGGAGAGACGCGAAGCCAAGATTCTGGGCACCCACGATCACAGTGAAAAGGATGATAACCAAAACGGCAGGGGTGTAGACACGATCGGGGAGACCACGCTCATCCAGGATAAGGGTCACTCCATACCAGATGGCCAGGGCATTGCAGAGGTAGATGACCACCCAAGAGAGGGAGTTTCCCAAGCCTGAGTAGAGACCCTTCTTGCGTCCAGTGTTCTCCGCTGGAATAAGTAGCTTTCCAAAGCGAGCTTTCTCCTTCTCCTGACCACTGAAGGCGAACACGGTGCGAATCCCACTGAAGACCTCCTCTGCCACGTTGGCCGCATCGGAGTAGGACTTCAGTTCCTTTTCCGCCAGAGATCCCTGGAGTCGGGCCACCATACTGGTGGCTGCGATGATGAAGGGCACACAGCTGAGCACGACCAGGGTGAGCTTCCAGCCGTAGACAAAAGCGGAGACTATTCCAATCACAAAGGTCATGGTCAGGAAGGTCACAATCACCACCTTCTCGCCAATGCCCTCTTTGAGCTTGTCCAGGTCTCTGAAAAGGCCGAGGAAATTGTTTAAAAATCGAAGTTATAAATGAAACAAGAGGGAATTAACTTCAGCAAGCATTATACATTTTTAGTTTTTAAGGATTTTTACTTGCTTTAGTTATATTAAAAAAAAAATATTTATTTAAAATGAACACGAGTTTTATGAGGATTTTAGTGGCGGATCCTGGATTTGGTTACGGAGTGGATTGGGATTTTCAGAACAACATTTTTGTAGCACGTTTTTTGAATACCGCAATTTTTTTAATGTTTCATCAGAGAGAAATATATCCCCCAAATACTGTAACAGGTACTTTTCAACGAATCTAGTACACCCTTTTACTCTACGAGTAACCAAACCATGCGACAAAAAAATCGAAAGGTATTGCAAAAACTTAAAGGATTGCATACCAAGGAAAAAGTCCAACAAGCTTGGGAGAATGGGAGGTGAAAGCGTAATTGTGAAAATGTAATTTCGATTTTTTCACGTCTCATTTGATAAAGTCCGATGCTTCGTTTAAAAGTTATGTCAAGATGGAAATGTGGGTGTCTTTTCGAATGACAACAATTTAGGAAGTGGATAGATTAGTTCATCAGTTTTTTACCTCGTTAAGAGGTGTTTTTGTTTGATATATTTACTTTATGGAATCGGAAACAGTCTCTTCCATCTGTTACATACCTTCCAACTAACCTAATACACCCTTTTACTCTTCAAGTAACAAGTATAAAAGCACCGAAGCTACATATTTATAACACTTTTGTTTTGTATTGATATTTTGGTCATTTCTACGCGAGCTATAGGATTTAGTTGATATATATAATACTAGATATTATATACTACCTCCAATAGGTTTCATCCCGATAA